GTGCGTGTGTGTACGTGTGTGTATGTGTGTGTGCAGATGAAAGCAGAAGCTGAATGCATGACCAATTTTTACTGAATTTTATTTCGTTTGAGAGGAAATTGAAGTAGGACTGCTTTTCTGACTAATACAGCAGCTATAAATTCACTCAAAACCCAAATTACTGGCTTTTGTGCAGATTCAAAAAGTAATTAATTCTTACAGTTTATACTATTTAATACAGGTTGTTGCACATTGAAATCTGGTATTAACAAACCTTTGCGCAGTATAATTTTAAACTTTAAGGTTTAGGGCTGTAATAAGCACAAAATGGAAGAGTTGTAATTTGCATAATTTCAATAATTGAGACTGCGTCATTCGAAATGAGTAAAATTGCTCTTTCGCAGTATTATTTGGCCAATTCAGTATATATCCGTTTGTTTTCTCGCTAAAGTTATTCATCCCACGGATGGTAATGAATAAACAAATGCTCTTACCTGTAGATTTTCTAATTTAGCAAAAACTGCATTTCCATATTCATTGCATAAACACTACTTGTGTGTGTGTGCACTTGTCTTGTTCGTTGGGGTCACTTATCCCACGCATGGTCATGGATGGAAAAAGAGTAGTAATAAAGAAAAAGTTCAAAAAAATACGTTATTTCTTGGAGATTTACTGAAAGGAAAAAGTGTTAATTAAGTCTTACTTCAGCAAGTAAGAGACAACAGTGTTTTTGCATAGCTCTTGTAACACTCGCGTGACTATGCTAAGAAAAGTTCTAAGCGTTTGGAATCTTTTCATGTCTGCTAATTATTGCATCAATTTAGGGTAAACAGTGTTACAAAGATTAGTGTTAGAAAAAAAAGTACAGATAATTTTTGTTCATTCAATTGTTAGGTTTTTTTACTTCACATGGAAAAAAAAGCTTCTTACGTGAAATACTCAACTTGTATTATTCATAAAAATGCGTAAGTCACTTGAGGTCAAGTATTATTATATATCTAAAGATATGAATTATTTGCCAAACTACAATTTGTTCAGGAATCAAATCGATAACCATTGAATAAGCAATTCATATTCTGAGAAATTTGTAGGTTTGAAGCACAGTAAGTAATCAGCCGCTTTCATCGTACCAAGAGTTGAAAACTAGTGAAACACAGCACTTTTACTGCTTTTTCAATTTCGGTTTTTTTTTTTTATTTCGGAAATATTTTGAAAAGTTTTCCGCAAATCACAGTTAACAGCAGTAGAAAGTAAGTTGGTTTGCTTTTTGTTACGTCAAATAGTGTCAGAATTGTTAAGTGTGCTTGTTTGAGAATCCTTGCAATACTATTATTGTTGATGCCAGTATACGGTATTCCATTTGAAATTACCAAAGGATTAGCGAAAAATTTTTCCTTGATGGCATCAATATAAATCAATCACTTGTGCCCGCACTTTTCAATTTCTGCTTCTGATACTCACAAATGGAAATATCTGATCTGATTGAGTACTGATCTCCAATTTATCGTCTTGTCTATCTATCGAAATTACTTTTCTTTAAACTTTTGTTTTCTTAGGTCAAAGCCGTACTTTGTTCATATAGAATCATACGTGCCTGCTTTTACGTGAATTTTATCTGCAAGGTTGAAATAGAAAAAAGATACCAAATTGTGCAAAAAAATGATTTGGTATGCTCATTTTCTCTAATTTATTGTAACATTATTACTGCCATTTTCTTTTTTTCTTTTCTGAGGTCTTAAAGTGCACTTTTTTCATAGCAGAATATGACGTCAAAATGATTTAGCGCAGTCTAAGAGGCTTTGCCTAAACGAAATTATTAAGCGTGACAGTTAGGTCAAACTTTTCATTCATACTCTTTGCATATTTCTTTTAATCCAAACGGAATAATCGTAAACAGTTATTTAACGGTAAAAAAAAGTGTAATCTAATTTTGTGCATTTTCATTTCACTGCAAGTCTAATTAATCTGCGGGATTAATTGATTCATTAAATATTTAATTTTGTGAAGTAGTATAGTAATAGATGCATTATTGATATTCCTTGAATAATATTGCTGTTTGTGTGGAATCAATCATTCTCATCTGTCAGAGTAATGAGTAAGTATTATAGAGGACGAACGAGAGGTAATGCTGACGGTGTCTTCAAAAACTTCTTCATTTGGGTCAAATGTACTTTCTAAAAGTGAAATAAATGAAGCAAGACGTGATATCAAACACGAAACTGATACAGATCAGATATTTGGAGCTAATTCTGGAAAAGGATCGTCAGCTACTAGTGCTTTTGTCAATAACATAAACGAATTAGAAAGTGACCAGACTATGATTAATCTCGCAGCGATTTCGATGGAAATGTTAGCTGAAATAACAACTTCGAAAGGGTCAACTTCTGAAGTCAAAAATACAAAAAGTCCAGTAAAAAAAGCACGAAAGCAAGGAGCGCAAAAATTTAAGCCTTCAAATGTCTGGAATCACTTCTCGCGATTACTTAATGGTAACGTACTTTGCGTGCATTGTGGAAAAGTGCTAAAACGCAAAGATAGCTCAACAAAGACAATGTGGGGTCATCTGCGAGCAGTGCACTTCAAAGGCAATAATGAAATTGAAAGTGTGGTTAGTGAAAGAGCGGAAGCAAGCATGATTCTTGATGACTTTTCTTCGACTAGGACCCTCACAACTCAGAATCTACTTGAACAACAAGTTGGAATTCTTTATGACATTCCTTCGAAAAATCAACAGTCAGTCAACATTATGAATGATATCACACCAATAATTTGGGTATTTATTTCTTGAGTGTATTTCTCCGTACACTACACAACTTTTCACTCATTTTTTGATGCTAAATGTTTATCTATTGAAAAGCATAAAGTTCAGTCTAACTATACTAATCCAAACGATGCTAATTTTTGAAAACAATCCGATCAATTTAGTGAAATACTTTCAGCCTATTATTCCGAATGCTTCTAAAACAAATTTGGAAATTGGTGAAGAGCAGAATCTAAGGAATAATATCATGTCAGAATCAGAATTCAATAACGTTAGCGACAAGGTGAAACTATATTTACTTTACAGCATGAAATGAATTTCACTATTCCAAATGTTTTATCATTTGAGATGGTTTTGTAAATTTGTCATGCTTGCTTTACCCTATCTTCAGAAGTCACTCAACTTTCTTTCAACAATTCCTCACTCCGTTGAAGTAATTAAAATTAACAGTGGCAGCAGCTCTAGTGATCGCAACAATCCATCATATTCTCCTAACGAAGAATCAAAAAAGGTCATTGAATTTGATCTTTTTTTCTTATAACTCGATCATAGTAGCCCGTAAGTAATGTTTTTAAAAAAGTATTGTGATTTAAGTTTAACAGTATCTCTGTAAAATTTGTGAGAAAAAAAAGTAATAATAATAATAATAATAATAATAAGTAATAATCATTAATAATAATAATGCAAATGATTTACATCGTTTTTAAGTTTAACTTTAAATTAAGATTTGTCTTAATGTCTCATGGATATAAAACTTAGTTTTATTCATATTGAATAGTATCACATTTCAGATGCATGGTACTGATATACTGCACAGCAATGCATCCGCCACATCAGCTACGATATCCAATCCTTCAGAAACATTTATTTTCAGTAATACAAATCATCTACCAACTACACATTCTATGCAGCGTGCTGCTGACATTTCAGCTCCGTATACTTTTTACTGTATTAACATTTTAATGCAAATTGTACCATAACATCTATCAGTTTTTCAATACTTGCTGAAAATACTTTCTTGCCCCGCCAGCAAGATGTTGTAGAAGATGAAAGGATCGTTTGAAACAAAATATTGCTAAAAATTTTTAAAAGTTATTTGTGTTTGGTTTCAGTTGCAAAAAGCTTCATTTAATAATTCTTGTTTAAAAAAGATATTTTGAACAAAAAAACATTTTTAAATTTGTGAAATCATTGTGTACAAGTTGTTCAATAAATTTGTAAGCCAAAAATTGTTTTCAAATTATATTTTAAATTTTTAGATTTTCGATATTTGATCCGGAATCAGTGGCTTTATTTATGCGAACTGCTAATGATTTAAACTGTACATTGTCTTATCACTCTCGCTGTTCTCAACCTCAGCTATGTCTTGAATCCAACATTACTGCAGCTAATAAACTAAAGTATTTTTCCAAACAAATAATCTATAATGCATTTATAATAAATTTGATGAAATTAAATCGTGATTACAAAGTATTCCTTTCGACTCTTCAAATGAGATAACTAGCCTATAATATAAAAAACTCTAATAAGCAATTAAGTAATTAAATTTAATTAGTAATAATAATAATTTGCTATTTATGCTAAAGAAAACGAGTAAAAAGCTATTTTTAGAGGCTTAGAGGTGTCTATAACGGAAAATAACGATGTGGTGTACATCAAAGTTCAATCTGATGGTATAGAAATTCAAAAGGAAATGTGGAAAAAAACGGATAAGATACAATTTATGTGGGCGATACGAGGAAAATGTCAGAAAGTGCTGACGGAGTAAGTGTAAGTCAAAACTGAAGTAATTCATTGAATTTCATGGATTTTATTAACTGATCAAACATTATGAGTATTGCTTACATTCACTTACGCTTTCACTAATATTGTAATTATTTGTGCTGAGAGCGTGTATTCAAGTTTGCTGATTATTCCTTAACTGTTATCACCTGCTACAACACCACTGTAAAACTTTATATTTCAAGTTATTGTAATGAGAATATCAGAAGTAGAAAGTACAAATGAAACAATCATATTGTATTAAAGCTAATTAAATTAAGTAGTGATGATGCAAATAATTAGATTAGCGTGTGTTTTAGATCTTTACTTACATAGTAATGTATGTGCATTTATGTATGTAAGTATGAGTGTGTATATTTGAAAGTGAATTCGTTATTGTCACGGAAAACAGAACATTATCACAGATAGTTGGGATGTGCGTTTGGACAGAATGCATTTTATAGCTGTCGCAATTTTGAGTTGAATAGTAATAAGGCAAATCATATATGCAAAATACAATGCCAAAAGCTTATTTTTAGAAAAACTACTTTTAGCACTGTGTTATTGAGGAAGCAAGAAAGCTATCCAAATAACAACTCTGTCTGCGACAAAGTAAATTGAGATTAGATAAGAAATAGAAAGCTAGAAAATATTAAAGTTTGGGAAGAATCACAGAGCACAAGCTAATAAAAGCACTGCAATCGAGAAAGATGGTGTTGTTTTGATATTATTTGAGCGAATGCTAATTTTGTCATAATTGACAGTTATTTGTTGGCTAGCTGAAGCATCATTTTAGAGTACAAAAATTCAAGTTACATACCTAATTCTCACTTCTTCACTGACTGTTTTATTTTTCAGTCTGAATAGTGTAATGTGTTTAGTTTAGTTTAGTTGTACAACAAAGATCACATTCTGTAAAATGCTTGTTCTGGAGTTATGAAACATTAGGTAAGTAATTCAATATTAGCAGACAGATTACATTGTGAAGTTGCTTTCACATCGTAACTTTCAATACTTCTTGCATTACTCCTATATTTCATTGAATACGATGTCGTTGATTGAAACACTTTTTGCTCTACCATAGATCGATCTATCCTTCATAACAAAGTTTTAATTCTTTTACATATCTCATTCAAAAATTAGAATGCTTTGAGTCTTCCTATTTCATCTGCTCTGTATCTGATAATGTCACCTTAGTTTACTGATTTATTTATTTCTTCAAAAGGTACTCATAAATTCACATATGAATAAATTTGATTTCAGATAGCAAAAGTAAGCGCTTGCTCAGCGAAATCATGGATTATGGCTATATTTATTAGCTTATCATCGAGAAGTTCACTTACTTTGCATATGGCAATTTTGCTTGTTAATTTTATAAAATATCACACTTTGCTGGTTTGTTGGAGATTTTTAAAAAAAATGATCTCGATTCATTTTCAAAGATGAGAAATAGTTTGAGATTTTCCTTGTCGACAGATCGTTAAATAATAACTGCGTGTAATTTTAAAATTTATTACACTCAAACCAGAAGTTATTACTGTATTGTCAGAGACAAACTGTTTTGATCTATTTAGTACTGTAAGTTTAAAATTACTGCGAACGTAGCAAAAGGATGCAAATGATTACTGTTGAAATTCTAATTGTTACTTACCTTCCCTCACAGTGGCTCTAATGTTGGCAGTATTTTTTGATGGGTATAAAATGACAATGCACAAAATGTATTATTCCAAAGAAATGGGAAGAAATTTCGTAGAATTCTGCTCGAAATTGTTATCATTTAAAAAAATGCTTCACAGATGTCTGTGGTATTAGATAGATCTTATGGAAGGCAATGGTTTACTTCGGTTCGGTGTGAAACCTTGATCTCGGCTGGTTCATGGTATCAGCATTACTTTTTAACAATTTGTATACTCACCTCATTTCTTCGTTGTTATTATACTTATTTGTTATTAATACTGAACTTTTTTATTACTGCTTGCTGCAATGAAGATTACTTACTATCACTGAGAGTTCTCCAAACTAACGCCACTGTTATTCAGTGCTGATCTTTGCAAATTACATGCTACTTTATTTTTCATCTAATAATTCAGAAGTTATAAATTCAGAAAGTTTGGATAGAAATAAAGAGATTTCACTTCTGTAAATGTAGACATCATTCTCCTCTCCTTACATTCCCTCATTATGATATTAATCTTTGTGAAAAAACGTTCTCAATATCTTATGGAAACATTTTGTCTACTTGAGATGCTTCTGTTTGACAATCGAAAATCCTTTTGTAGTCAAGTGTAAACTTCTGAATCATTGCTTTCTGATACTCATTTTTGTTGTTTGCAATGTTCTGTGTATCCATTCATCTTTTAATTCCTGCAATATCCTATCTATTCAAGTTCGTTTTTTGCTCACCACACTTTTGTTGTTACTGTTTCTTCTACTATGTGCTGCAGAGTTTTGTATTTTTTATGTTCATTCTTAACAGAAGATATTTAAAAATTGCGAAATATTAACACTAGAAATGTTGAAAAGCAAATAAAAAATAATGATAATGATGTCGTGACGTGACGTGACGCCGCAATTAATGATATCATTCATCGCAAAGTAAGTAAAGGATTGCGCATCGTATTTCTTGTCCATATAATTTCAACCAAGTATTGCAGCAAACGCGTGAACTTTGCATAATTTTTTTTTTTTTTTGATAACAATAAATGTTATAAATTAAGAAATGAAACACAGGAACAGATGTTGTCGCAACATTGAATAGCTTTCAACGTTAATTGAATATATTTTGTAGAGTTTATTTTTCATACATTATAAAATGGCGAGGCAGCAGAGGTTTGCAATTCGATTTGTGATATTTTATAGCGCACTTTCCGAAGCCACTGCTGCAATGGCTGCGAATTCAGTGAAGGCTGATTTTCACAAGAATCTAATTTCATCCGTAGCTGACTAGGAATCTGGGCGTGATACGTTGTGAGAATTGGTTGCCACATTGCACTTAACTGGCAAAGCACAGCTGAATTGCATTGTTGCAAAGCTTGCATTGTATTCAGAAAATGGAGATTAACCATATCGGCTAGCTGAACAATTTATTTGCATATACATTATACTTTATTAAAGATCATTTTACTCAGATGTTAATTAATGAGTTTTTAAAATTTACATCAAAAACTTGATTGTGTTACAAGAAAACTTGAATAAAAACTAAGCAATCTTAAGAATAATAATATAAATACAATTTGACTGCAGTCTGTTTTTTTGTTTTTTGAAAAAAAAAGAATCAAAATCTAGAATGTTGCCTTGTTAAAGATTCACTACTTACCACTTTCGAATGTGATAAAAGTTGCAGAATAGCTGGTGTTACTCGAGCCCAGAAGTCGAGAATATTTGTGAGTGAAGTGAGTTGAAGTTCATCTGATGTTAATGCAGCTTGTTCACAATAAACAGTCCAAAGTTGGCACAGATGGAAAGCATGGAATAGAGCTGACATATGAACAACTGATTCCTAATAAAATACTTTGATAAGAAACAATTTTTGTTTTTCTTTAAAAGCTGCATTTACTTTAAAGTAATGCTCAGTAACACAATCGAAAAATAAAGTTGCAGAATTGTTAATAATTAAATTAAAGATTAAGCAAGAATCAACCTTAGACTGGTCTGCGAAACCAGCTAATACAAAGTGTATGTAATCAGCCATATATTGCGAACAACTGATTGGTACTGGAAGACATGGTTGACTAGCTTGAAGTGCTCCAAGTAACAACCAAGAAAGTAATCTCACGTTTGTTACCGCTTCAGCAAATGCATTTGGAGTAGACTGTGTTACAGATGGAGGTGACATTAGCCATGGCAAGAAACGGCTCTGAAGTTATACCGACTCTTTCAAGTATATCATACTATTTACTATTATTATTAGTGATCATTATTGCTGTTACTATTATTATTGTTAATAATTAGTAACAATTAATATTATCGTTATTTTTGCGCGTTTCAATCAAAGAATGAAAAAAAGTACCACAGTTCGAGAGTCACGTTTGTTCGAACGACTTATTTCAACACCAACAATTTGTGCTACAGAAGATTTGATATCACCACCAATGCTATCAGAATTGGTTATTTTCTGCAAAAAAACATTAATTACGCATAAATTATAAAATATCAGTAATAACTATAACTGAAATAGCTTATGAGCAAAAATTTAAATTGCGTTGTAAATATAAACAAATCCAAAATAAGCCACATTATTTTGTACAAACAATAATTTTTGCATTTTTAAAACAAACTCTTTTACACGCATACTTTAATCTCAGTGAGCACATGTAAATCAGATATAAAATCCAAAAAATCAAATATGTGCGGCCGGACTGCATCACAAGCTGCTGTACTGTACTGCAAAGTTATTACTTTATAGACTGAAAAATATGCCTATTATTATAATTCATTATTTAATTGTAATTAGTTTAGAGCTATTTTATAGCACAGTATCTGATTTATTCCTTTTGCTTTATTTGTCTGTCACCGCAATTTGTAAAATTTTTCATAAAATTATTAAATTCAGCAAAAAAGCAGAAGAATGCAAAAACTATCAGCAAAAACAATAATCCTGTTGTAGACGAAATTACACTGCTTTGCTAAATTTAATTACAAAAAAATAAGTTCAAAAAATTAATTTTTAATTCATGCCACAAAAAAATTATCCTTTGATAGCAAAAAGAATGAAAACTTTTAAAAATATGCAAATATTGAATTTCTTCTCAAAAACTAAATGGAATAAATTATATTATTTTGAGGTAATAAGCAAGATATAAATTAAGTTTAAAGCCAAATTCACCTGATCATGAACGATTTCCTCTGAAACTTCTTCACCTACATCTTGTAAGATTAAATCTATGATTATCATGTAATTATGCTCATTCATATCACATTTAAATTTTAACGCTTGTACGAACTCCGAAACCACAGCTTTCGTTATATACTGCCTGTCTCGATCCTGCAATTTTCTTCTCTTATAATTGCCTAATTAAAAATCTTCCAGTTGCAAAATTTTTCATAAGATGATAATAATATTTTTTAGTGAAATAAATTAATAAAGAGAATATTAACGAAAAAAACAAGATTTACTTTTAGCAAAGCTCGATTACAGGCTGTGCAAATGGTTAAAAGATCAATCAAGTCAGCTTTGCATTCATGCAGACCTTCTGTAAGCCATTTAGAAAATGCTTCTACTAACGATGTTGAGCTCTGAAAATCATTTATACATAAATAAATTTATTTTTTTAACTAATTTTTATTATACTTATTACATATCTAGATTGTCGATTAATCATACATGAACAGTAATGAAGGCTGTTTAGATAATGCAATAAAGTACCGCAAAAATTACTGAAAAACAGAATAAAAATATATCGTGAAGTGATATATAAATAAATACAAAGCTAAATAAGCATGCATACCTTAAATGTAGAAAAGCTTTGTACTCGTAAAACAGCCACCATTATACTAATACAACTTTTAAATTCAGTACGAATTGCAGTTCGATCAGTTTGTGATTGTATCTTAAATCGAAAAAATCTCGCGCAAAGTATTAGGACCATAAATAGATTTATTTACTAATAAGTAAACAGATAAATGCTTATTAAAAATGAATAATTAGTCATTTTTATCAGTTTGCATTAATATTGAAAGATCTTTAAAATTTAAAAATTATCACTTACTTTACTTAGAAATGAATTGTAATAAAATTAATTATAAAGCCCAATTATTTCTATTATTAGCATTTTATTTTTTTTAAATCAAATGTGACCAAGAAATGAAGTCGTGATTAATTTTCTGCATTAATTTATCACTATATATTAAGCAATTAATATGAAGCTGAAATCATAGAAGAAAATCAAAGAAATATTTGCCTCAGAGAGATAACGTCTAAAAAATGTTTCCAATTGGCTACTGACAACATTCCAATGTGACAAATATGCATCGGAAGCAACATATCCAACATATCTGGAAAGGTTAAAAAGAATCCGAGCTAATCGACTGGGCCAATTCTCCAAAATATCCTAAAGTAATCTGTCACACTTTAGTATTGCTTTGTTATTAACAATAATAATGTTATCAGTAAAAATTTTGTGCACAATAAAAATACGGTAATAACAGCAGTTGTTGTTTTTAACTTTTTTATCAGCCACTGTTATATTTTTTTAGCACTAATCTTACTGTATAAATTTACAAATAGCTATTTCTATGTGAGCAATAAAATATTAATTGATGAATAAAAATAAAATTTGAAACAGACTTCAAGCAAATTCTGAATCACAGCAACAGGATTTAATTCTGGAAAATCTGATAGAGCAAATGATATGGTAGACCAGAACTGATCGACCCTATCGATATTTGTATCAAAGAGTTGAAGAAATATTCCACTTGATGACATCTGAAAATGATTTGTTTTATATAACATCCTTCATCCATACACTTACTTACTTATGCATTAGTTTAATAAGCTTAAAAATAAAAAATTTATTAAGCAAACTTGATGAAGTAAAACACGAAGTAATTGCTTCGCAACGCTGCGACAATTTCCAGCAACGAATATCAGAGTATCATGCCAGGGATATATCGGCTTTTCAATTAATCTAAATTTTATAAAAATTACTTTGCGTTCTGCTTCATATTAAAATCTTCGTAATATTTTATTATTTGATAAAAAAGCTTGCGATTTGAATAAAGCTATTAGTTACGCTCACCTTACAACAGTACTGATAATACGGAAAAGTAAAGGTGCTGCCATGGCAGGTTCTCGATGAACAAATGTTTCTAAAGCAATCATGCATAATGACAACGTTTCTTCATCAAAACTTTTAATAACAGCATTACAGTAGCCACATCGGTAAGTACTACGATCAACATTTACAGTATTTCCCACTAAAATTATTAGATTCTTCATTAAATGGCAAATCTAAACAATTTGCATATTTATCAGCCATAATTTTATTGCCATTAATACTCAATTCTAAAGCTAATACTATCATAACTTAATTAAAAGTCACAAATTAGCACATTACTTTGGACAATTTTAAATCAAAAATAGTTATTTTAAATCAAAAATAGTTATTTTATTCAAACTTATATTCAAAATGTTAAAAAAAGTTCAGTCTAATCTTTGCATAATCACAATAAGATGGAACCTTTCCGAAAACGATGCCTAGATCGTTTTTTGTGCTTCTTGCTAAACTCAGTGCCTTCTTCTTTGATAGCTTCTAACTTGCTTTCACTTACCTAAGCATAAATCATTGAGTGCAAAAGTTAAATAAATTGTTGTAGTGAAAAAAACTTTTAAAAAAATTTATTCATTTTTATTTATGACAAAATGCAATTGCAAAAACCAAATAATTCATTTGAAATGAAGCTTACTTAAGAAGAAAATAACTTTTTATATTTCAGTAAAAGTTAGATTTAAAAATTTTGATTATAAATACATAAAACTGAAATAAATATTTAATTATTCAATTTAATTTTCAAATCAAATAATGACAATTAAACTGCAATAATTTCTAATAATTTTTGTATTTCAAACAGAATTATTAAGACACATATTGTTTTCTCTGCCATCAAGAATACATTATAATTAATATTCTATAACTTACTTCAACCACAGTAATACTTTGTGAAGCAACAGAAAGTGTTTCGGGCCGATGCAATAGCTTCTCACCACTACTAACACCAGAAGTTTCATTTTCTGTTTCTTCGTCATCTGAACTTCTGTCTGATAATGCTTCCATTTCAATTTTTATCGATGCTTTGGGATTGCAAATATGAACCTAATAAAACTTTTGCTTACTTTAAAAACTTGCTAAGTTCTTTAATTCAAAAGAAAATTAACACAAACTTAAAAATTTTATTTCTTCTAAATGAAATATTTAAGCATTTCTTTTGCATAAATATATTGCTAATAAATGAATGGAAAATGGCAATATTTACCTCAGCTTCGAGAGTGCAAATTATTATCAAAATAAGTTTTTGAATGTATTCATTAAAGGGTGGTGCATCATATCGATACTGCAAACGTAAAACTTAAAACATTCGTGAAAGTAAGTAAAAATACACTACTGAAATTATTTCAATAATTAACTCAAATAAAATCTTGAGATTAATTTTAGCTACAAAAATTTACCAAACAAAATTCAAAAACATCAATGTTATATTAGTAATATTTCATAGAAATCGATATCTGTATGCAAATCAATTAAATATTTCATGATCTAAATTCAAATAATCAAATTGAGTATATAATTATGCAACAAATATGAGTATCACAATTTTACGAATTATAACAAATTAAGTAAGTTTTATAGAACCATTTTTTATGATTCTGTTTTTTAGCTTTAAATTTTTATTAACTAAGTCCTGCGTTACAGTATCGTTTTCAACGTACTTCATAGCATTTACTAAATAAAAAGTAAGTTACTTATAATGTAGAAAAAAATGTAACGTATAAAATCAAAATGATAATATAATGATATATATTTCACCTTGTAAAGTATAAGTATAACAGTATAGAACCAAAAATGCCGAGAATTCATATCTAATAATGCAAGCGAATATTCCATAACTTCTTGATCGCTAGCAAGTTTTTGAGGAGATGGCAAGTGAAGAAGAAGTTGCAAGCTCAGCATCATAATCTAGCAACATTTTCACATCAAAAACTTGATCTTATCTCAATTTACATACTAAAATTAAGTTGAGTGTTTCAGAATTAGCAATCTTTAAATAATCTTTGCTCATTTTTATTCCTCGAAACTGTAACTGTTTCAGTATTATTTCCAAATAATAACTAAATGAGTAATACAGTAATTCGATACAATAATACAGTAAATTTACTTTTGGCCCTAAATTTTTTCCTAAATTAAAAGTTAAAACTGCAATAGCTTAAAAAATATATTCACTTGATTTCCGATAACCAAATTGCAATCCAAAACTTTTGGCAAGCCACATAGAAAGCTATTACAGACAGCAGATTTTCTGAAAGTAATAATAATTGTATCATGTTTTCTTCTTTCAATTAATCACAAGAATACATTAATATTTAATTAAATTTAGTGCCAAAATTTGATTAGATTATTGCAATTTTTTTTTCAAATACATAACATAAATAAATAATGCATATAGAAAGTTTACACATGTAGCATACTTTAAAACATAACTATAAAGCAAAAAGTTATTCAATAACTAAAATTAGCATAGCATGTATTCCTTGAAGTAAGTTAGCATCCATAAAGTATGATGCACAATTAATGAATTGCAGACTTTCAAAGTAAAACAAACATACCGTAATACTTTTGGAGGTATTGTAAAGCATTTTTCAGCATTGCTATATCCAATTAAAGCATTAAAGTGACGAAAAAGTATACTCTGCTTTTTAGCAGCAGCTTTTTCATCGCAACTTTTCTTATGCTTACATAAAAATGATACAAAAAGTGAAACTGTCAAGTATACAATATGACGTTCCGAATTATCAATATCCACTACTCTGTTCATTAATAAACACATATTACTTTCTTCATCTGCGAATTCTCGCAAGCGACTATATGGTCCTTAAATATGTAATTGCATTATGATTATAAGTTAGCAGTTGAAATAATAATTACACACAATTTGAGTAAATATATAAAGTATTTAAGATTAAAAATTAATAAAAAATTACAACACTAATTTGATTTAAAAAAAATATACATTTTGTATTCTTTTTTGACCAAATTTGATCTTTTACTAATTATTAATTATTATTTATAATTAATAATTGAAAAATTTGGAATAATAATTACAATTTTACATTCAATTAAATTGCCGTATTACGAACAATTCATTCAAATGTCCGAAAAAATGTGAGATAATACATTTTACTATGAAATTTTTACAACCACAAACAACTGAGAGGACAAAGAATTATAATATTTATGAAGCAGAAATTCCGAAGTATCTATCAAAGTTCAGAAAAGAGAAACTCTTCATAAATCACAGAAACTGAAATAAATGAAGTTTTTATTCAAGACTTACCACTATCTTCACCGTATGATGGACTCTGTGGCGTTTTTTTAACTTCTCCAGCTGAAAAAGTTATGATGTATAAAATGTTAGAAAAAATGAATTAATACTAAAGTCTCTTCAGGAAGGGTAAAACCAAGTGATCACATATAATATTTTCGAACAATGGGTGCATGTATATATGAATACGTGATCTGAATACTGGGTAAATAAATAAAAACGTGAAATGTAAATAAATATTACACGTAATAAATGACGTTGCAGTGAGAAACTGGGAAAAATTTTTTTCTGCGTATTACATTTGTAATTAATAATCACTGCAATCATTAATTATTATTTATGTAGAAATTACTATCAGAAAAAAATTCAGAATAATGATTACAATAGCCAAGCAATACATTAAATTTGATACTACAAAATGATATTTTATTTACTCAAATTCCTAACCCACAGATTTATGGTAATTTGAAATAAAATTAAAAATTGTAATACAGTATAAAGAATGATATTTTAACGAAGGATGAGTGACAGTAGGAAAAATTAACGAAAAACCTCAGGAAAAGCAGAAATTCACAAAAATAAATTCAAATATTAGTCAAATTTTGTGACCAAAATTGACACATTTATCATAAATAAATGAATAAAGAAGGGGTCAAAGAGTCACATTATCATATCAAATAAGGGTAATGTATTATTAGCTCACTGAGAGTACATACTATTTGCAACTCGTGCCAAATTTTGAGCAATGACTGAAAATGCGTTAAATCGTTTCGAATGTTCCTTCCAAGCAGACAGTATTCTGAAAATAATAACTGCGCGACGAATTTTCTTCCATCCGTTCGTGAACTTTGACTTGGCACTTTGCTTTACTCCGCCAAACTTCTTCACTTAACCCATAATTCTTCTTTTAGCATCACAATTATTATTTTTCTATATTGTCTTTCGGATATTCTAATTTTTTTTCCAAATAATTCCGAAATTGTAACGACTCACTCAATAAATTCACAATATACTAAGCAATAAATAAGAATTTCACCAGAAATAAAGCATTCTGACTTATTTCCAAATGCTTTTCATCAAAGTTCCCAAATTAAAAATTATTTTAATTTATTCAAAAATTATTTTGATAATTCGATAAATATGCACAATAATACTAAAGCGCTGTTGCAGTATTGTAATCCTTCAGGTCGACTTCCTCATAGAAAGTATGTATTTCTGACACTTTTGTCCATCTGTGAGTCAATCTTTTGCATTTAAACGTTGTCAAATTCCCTCACAAAGTTAAACACAAATGAGTAGAAATAGTTGGAACAATAATATTTATTATAATTACGATAGATTAAGATATATCACTGGAAATTTTGAAAAGTAAACAAATAGACAAAGTGTAATTGAGTACTATCTACAGTATATTTGAGATTTGAAAAGGTAAGGTTAAAGGATAGACTCTGACCTTTTCAACTTACATACAAAGTCAATAGATCTATTGTTACTTTAATTATTATGTATGACGAAAATTTCAAGATGAACTCAATGTCTTTCAAGTCTTAACAATAATGTACATTTGAAGTAAAAAATATTGAAGAATAGCTTAGTGTAGAGCACGAATCTGCTGTGTACTTCTGTAACACGAATTAATCTAACTAAGCTTGTATAAGGAAGTAAGTAAGTAAGTTACTTGATAGTTGACATGACGTCGTGCTGAGTAGATGTTGAAGAGGATTGCCTTGCAAACTGCGTACAATGGATCGAGCGTTAGCACTGTTCTCGATGGTTTGACGCGCGCGAGCCAATTTACGTTGATAAAGATCACTTAACGGGTCAGAGTGCATCAAATCTACAATCGTAATTTAAACTTTTCAATCTTTCTACTGCTTAGTTTTCATTATTTGATCATTCAATAGATTTTCACATCTGAAAACTTCTTCAAAGTTCATTCGATCTATCATCAATTTCACTCTTAAAAAAAACAGTCAAAAGGATAATCTGTACAATTTGCTAAAAATACAATTATAATAAAGCTTTTCCTATTAATGAAATGAACTCATCAAAATATCATTGCTAAACTTTATTCAACACATTTAACTCAAAAAGAAATACAAAACATAAAAATAACCGTGTACAAAAGTAGAATCTCCATCGTTCATACGCAACTGACTTTCCATTGCGAGTCCTTCGAAGCGCTGAATAAAAAATTCCCACGTGAGAATTTCTTGATCTGGCAAAATTGATATTAGTTGCTGAATTCGGATGATAATCAGCGCGCGATCCAACATTGAACTATCAAACTGTGATTCCAAACAAATACACATCAACTGCAGCATTTTATTTGATTTATTATTCACATTGAAAAAAAATACAAGAACTAAATTTGAATAAAGGAGAATGGCAGAGGCAAATATTTTAATAACTGCTGAAATTTTAAAGGATATCAGATTAGATATACAGAAAATTTGCATCTCATTTACTACCCACTTTTTACTGTTAATAAGAAATTCAAACAAGTTTGATCTTAATTGTTTGATCATAAAAACCGAATAATGTACTTCGCCTACTGAGAACGCACTAAATGTTGATTAAAAAACCAACAAAAGTATGACAGATTGTTTTACATCGAAAAAACTCATTACTGGTACGCAATTTTAATTTTAATTTTAATTCTAATTCTAATAATAATAATAATAATTAATAATTAATAATAATAATAATAACAATAATAATAATAATAACAGTAATAAATAATATGACTGCTAGACCTTTAAGGATGTAGATGGCATATGTTGGATAGAAATTAATGCCCTCTGAGCTACAGCAGCAGTGGGATCATCAACAGATGCGATTAGATGAGCTACACAGCAACTTAAACTTGTTTGAATTACTTTATTTGAACTGACAGGTGCAGAATCTGCTAATTCCAAGAGAACACTCACTCGTTCTACTGCAATTTTAGGAATTGATAAATATACGTACGTAATTAAATTAATTAAAAACTAAAAATAATAACTTGAAAAGAATGCTTTCAGCAAGAAATTCAAAAATAAAAGTTATAAACGCTTAAAAAAAAGAATTACATGATCCAATTACTATTTTTTAAGATTAAAATAATAAAAAAACTTAAACTTTGACAGAAAACTAAACTACCGGCTGAAAATCGTTCTTCCCACCGTTGGTCAGTAAATTGCGCGTTCACAACTTTCCAGAACATCTCCTCTCCACTTGGTAAAGTGATACAGTGCATAATTAATGGAATTACTATTTCAGCAATCTACAAAAGTATAAATTTCTTTGCTTTATTCATATAATTTACTGCACCTTATAAGTCATTAGAATAATACTATCAAATTTCTCATCTAAAATTAGCTATTATTTACAAAAGAAATATCACACAAATACTGATCATTTTATGAATTTTTAGGCATAAAGTAATTGATACGTAGTCTACACTAACTTGTGATCGGTCTGATCGAAGGAAATGCCACAATTTTGGGATAAGCAAATTTTCTTGTGCCCAGATGAGATATCCACGATGTTCACGACGTGCATTTAGTAAAGATTCACTATGAAGACATAAGAGTTTCAAAATTTTCAACATGGAATAATGTACATCTGGTTCACGTTCAGATTCCAAATTCTAAACCCAAATCTTTTAAATAATAAATGGTATATATGAATTATTAAAATGAGCTTAAATATAGTTCGAGCTGGTAGCTGCATATTCGTAAATTCAAAATATTATTTGTAAAATATGATGAAAATGACAGTAAACTGTTTTAAGAGGTACAATATGTACCAGAAGATAAGAAAAATAATCTACTTCATTCGATCAAGTTGAAATTCAGCAATACTTTGCGCAAGTAATTCTTGGATTGTACTCTAAAACATACTGTTAGAATAGAATGAATTAAACAAAGTTGTGGAGGCAAGTCAGCCAATGTGAAGCGAAAACGTCCAATTGAGGTATTCCAAAAATGTATATTTTCCTTCTGGTCACTATTATCCATTGACCATCCTTTGATATTTTCTACTAATGATGACGTAATTACATGACAAGTTTCACAGCCAACATCTGTTTCTGTCAATGTTGTAGCTTGTGCTGTTGCTGTTTCTACCTTCAAAAACTTTACTAATCACTACAGGAATTTGTACAAATACTAAAAAATAACTGGCTTCAAATTCAAATTTAATAGTTTACAGTAAGATTTTTGTCTGAGAACGTAACATATAGAATGAACTCTTCAAAATTTCTCAGAAACTAATCAAAAATCTAACTTTTTTGTGCTCTATATAATGCTTAAATCTTTTGAACTGAAATAAATGTTTTAATCTTATTTTTCAAAAATGCAATCACTAACGAATTATTTAAGATTGAATAATAAAATCTGCTTAACTTTAACTTATGTCCACATGAATTTTTTTAGATCATTTTAATTTGCTTTACAAATTATATATTTTACTTAATGCAAACCTCTTCACTTGGTAACAATCCAACAAATTCCACATTAGCTTCATGAATAGTGGCAGTTTGAAATCGAAGTTCACTTGTAGGTGGTGTTGAAGATTTTGCGATGACTGACAAAGTGAACGAATCAGAAGGAGCAGATTGGGCTATCGGGGAAACAGTTAATTTGTCTACTGAAGGCGATTTCTCAGGAGAAATATCTGTTAACAGTGCTTCCCAATTGATCATTGGCTTCAAAGTGAAATTATAATAATAAAATTGTTCAAAATTTATAATAATTATAACTAATAATAATAATAATAATAATAATAATAATAATAATAATAATAATTTGTAATAATAATAATAATCACAATAAAGTAAATGCTTACTTCATCTGCATGAACTGATA